TGCCACAGAAAAAAAAGAGCACACAGCAGCAGCGGCAGGGACTCTAAACTCACAGGATCCTGAACAAGAGGACTTAGAACAAGGTGCAGGCAGTACTCAGCAATGCAAAGGATTCAGAAAAAGAGCAGGCCCTGGGGGCTTAGTTGGAGAGAAGGCCACCAAACAATTCAGAATTATACCATAATTGTACTTTCAAAAATCAGCAAAATCTCTGTGTGGTCTTAAAAATTGTAATTGACTGTTCATAATTTGTAACGCTGGAGAGATTTCTTCAGGTAAGATACAATTTTTTTGCAAGACACATGTTCTCCATCTTGTCTTTTGTTTTAAATAAAGCTTTTGTTTGCTAATTGTCCTTTTCTTCTCACCAAGTAATTAAGTAGTAGTGGAGCCTAGTTATTTCCCTGCTCTGAAAAGATTTTATTGGATCGCATGAGATGTCCAAAAGGGAATAATTGGAGGGCTTGTAGATACTGATGTAAGAAGATATTTCTATGGAAACCACATCCTGCATTATGGAAGAGTGATACCGCAACACACATTGGTATCAGAATGACAGCTGTAACCTTCCTTTCAAAGAGAACAATTGATCTCGAATTGCTTTCATTTGAGCTTTTCTAGCAGAAAAATCTGCCTTAAACCCTGTAGTGGACAGGCTGGCATACAAACTCCATGAATGCAGAAAAAGTTTGGTACAGAGAAGAAGAGTGAGCAAGCTACAGGCCTTAAACTGCCTTTAAATTCAGGCACTGTGATCATGCTATGTGTAAGTTCAGCGTGTAGAACTTTGTGTAGATTACATATTGCATGTTTTATTTCCTGTAGGCTCTTTCCTAGTGTTTTGCATTTAATTAACTTGAAAGTATAACATATTTCACTAGATTACTCATATTATGGCTTGGTAAAGAAATTTTGTTCTTTCATCACAAGCTGGTTCTGTCTTAGAATAATTCTTAGTGAGGAATTTCTAAAGCTTGAATGTTGTATTAATGATTACAGGTGAAACTCTTCAAGGATCAGATCTTTAGTCCAGTGGCAGAGAAGGCTTTGCGAAGAGGCAGGCTAAGTAATGAACAGCAGTAGGGTCTTGATGAACCTGAATAGATCCAGCAGCCTGTAATTCTTAAGTGGGTGCCTTGGAACAAGGAGAGGTAGTTATTTCTTTCCAAAAACTAATCCAGCATTTCCAGGGAGACAGTTCTGTAGGCAGGCATTGTAGGTACACTGTAGGGATGTATATTCCCTCCCCCCCCCTGTATGGCATAATTGCTCACACATAGCCCTGTCACCATGTTTTTGTTTAAGATTGTGATTTAACATAGCGTTTATTCATGTATCCAAGTAACTCCTCCCCTGTTCAGCTGCTCAGTAAACCATATGCCTGAGACACATCGAAATCAGACCTTTCTAGGCATCTCTTTAAAAAAAAAAAAAAATTGCTATAATTGGAACTTACAAGTTTTTGCCAAGAGAATTAAAACACTGAATTGTGTGCCAGCCTTAATCATGTTGCTATGGTTCTCTTGTCTCAAAGAGAATGCATTTAGTACTAACTTTATAATCGGTTGATCTTCAGGTTGTTGATTCATCAAGTCACAAAGGTTGTGCTATAAAGACTGCTAGAAAGCGTGTGTCCTCCTGTGCAGCAGCCTACATTCTTACTTAATGTATGGTTAAATACATACTTCTTTTTTTAAATACAATATTTGTGAAGAGTTGAAATACCAGTTGCTCCTAAGTATGATAGAAAATGATTATATCTCTCCTCATGAAAGCTGACTCTGGAGTTGCAGTAGCCTAGCAAACTAGCCTCATGTCTAGTTTGCACATAACAGCCTATATTATAATTCTCAAGGTAAGGTAAACTGGAGTTGTTCCAGCAAGTGGGGACTATTAAGAAGTTTAATCTGATTTAAGTCTTTCAAGAAAATTTTATCTAAGAAGGCCCCAGGAAACTTTATATGAATTTGTATTAGAATAAGGAAGAGATGGATAAGGTACTGTATGTGGAATGGGCAGACACCTAATTTGGTTAAATTCATTCTATGCTTAAGGAAACTTTGAGTCAGAGGAAAAACTAGCAATTTTTCAATATTGCCAAACTGAATTTCTGTTTCACCTCTCTATTTTGCAATGATCCACTGGCTGCATTAACAGCCACTTTACTGTTCTCACAGAAAAGTTGCTTCTTTCCTCTGTGTAAGAATTGTCTTCCCTGATTACGTTTAGCTTTTTGTTTTCCAAGTAATGCTTTTTCATCGAAAATGCTCATGATGGCAACTGGACATATTACAGAAGTAAGCAAAGGTGTGTTTGATAAGATGGTGTTGGCAGATGGCTTGGTACTTTCTAATCAAAGAAAGTGATCACATCATCCTTCTAATCAAAACATGTGACAATCAGGGATGTTCTACATTCAGTTCATCTGCCCTGCCTGGCAAATGAAACACACTGAGCAGAAACAGTAGAAGAGGATAGAGACATTTGCCCATTATCTATATCCAGTAAAGAACCAGAGCCAGGAGTTCTGAGGTCCTACTTAACAGTACTAAACTGCTGGGCTACAGGTTGCAGGAAGACACAGGCTTGCTCCATATTATTTCAGAAATGCTGATTTACAGAACAATTAGTCTGAATATTGATTTTGGTTTTGTTTTGTTGGGGTTTTTTTGTTATATTAGTGCTTTAAGGTATCTGATTAATTTAGAAGCTTGGACCTGCAATTCATTCTTGGCAGTCTGAAGCGTTTCTCAGTGACATCACAAGAATCCTAAGAGGGTCTGAAGCAGAAACAGATCCAATATCTTCACTGTCTTAATAGAACATAATAGAACACCCCCCCCCCCAAAACCCAGCAGCCCAAACATCTTTTTCTACAGTGGAAGTTCTTTTATTTAAAAGAAATCTGAATTTACTGAAGGGTAGGATGGTTTCAGAGTGCTGGAAAAGTTGGCAAAGGCTTGAAAGAGCATTCCAATTTTTGGAGTTGAGTTTTCAAATGCTTGGATTTAATCTCTCTCTGAATCTACACTCCGGTGCTTGTGGCTTGACACATGGTATTTCTGCTTAGGAGACAAGGAGGTAGGGGTGTGTGTGAGAGAGAGTTGGCAGACCTGCTGAAAGGAAATTTGTCCCTATTGTTCTTACAAGCATAGACACTTAAGTCTGGCCTACAGGTAAGTCGTTAGACATCAACATTAGCGTTAGCAGTGATCTGGGTGGGTGTGTGCCAACTAAATAAAGTATTTGAATTGCTCTCAAGAAAAGTAAACATGGGTTTTAAGGCTAGAAATTTCATCACGTTAATCTGTCATGATGTTTCACATAATGTAAGCCAGACAATTTCATGCATGGTTGCTGTATCAAAAATCATTGGTTTTGGTTGAAATGATCCATTTTTTAGAAAGATTGTTTTGATTTGACAGTTTTGATTTTCAGATGTTGGGCAGTGGGAAATCTGCCACATTCGTTGGCAAGTTGTGTTTACAAGTGCACCCAGTTTTTTTTAGTCTGAATTAATTTTGTTTTAGTCTCCTGTGATGGATTTTGCTTTTCTGTTTAATGCTGAGCTATGGCTCTGGTACTATCAAGATTCTTTTAATGTGGGGATGGATACCTTATGGTCTGTCATGACATCAGCGAACATGGTTTTTGGATCAGTCTCTGTGAGGCAGATTTTCCTGATCTTGATTTATTCTTCTTGTCCTTTCAGAGAGATTTTCAATTTTTCAAATTCCTCTTAGAAGCCTGAATATCATCAGAGACCCAGTTCCAGTAACAATCATGGTGACCATTACGGGTTAGCATTTCCTGGCTGCTATGACCTATGGTTGTAAATCATCACGGGACTCTTATGTGCTTGTGGGTGTCTTAATGGCGAACATGCACTGTAAAACTTAAACGACATGGAGGAATTAAGAGGTATCTGTTTTAATGTGTTGTCTTTAATGGCCGCAATGGCTGCAGCATACTACTGCAAATGGAGTCAATCCAGCGTCATCTTTATTATTACCACGAGATGGCACTATTACATAGCTTAACATTGTCGTCATTTCTTGGGTGCTTGAGACGGTGCTCAAGATTTAAATGCATCACTGGTTGGCTTGACTTCTTCAGAGAAAGGTTACCGGTTCAGAGAAAGGAGGATGAGGGTATGGTAAAGCTTGTCTTGTGTTTGCCATTCAGTCTCGTTGTATTGGTGGAGTTTATCTCGAGTGGGCCCGGGATTGAGGTTGTCAAATATTTGTGAAGCCAAGATGAAGTTATAGAGTAGCACGAAATGCAGGCTGCACCCAGATTGTGTCCCTTCGTACTCTTGTCTCATCAGGAAGCCTGGGTGGGACTTTTCCCTGTTTTATTTCATGGTTTCCCAGCACTAGATGGTTCTCTGCTCAAATAACTTGAACATCTAATTCTCCGTTTCTGACCCTTCTCTTGCCTACTACATACTTTGCTTCAGAGTACTACTGAGCACTTTTTTTCATGTAATAGCATGTAATATGCTGTTAATTCTCTCAGCATTAGAACAGCAAGGATGGTCTATATTTGCCCTAAAGGCTAAGTTTCTTCTTTTGCTACTATGTTTTATATGTGACCATTCCAAAGGACAGAAAGGCAGATTAAGTAAGCAGACGATTTACTTTAATTTTTATATTTTAAATTTTTTGAAATGTCTAATGTTTAGTATAATTGATAGAGTAAAACTTCAGTGCAAACATAAAGTTATACGTTAAAGGCAGTTCTCCATCCTAATCAAAGATTGTAATGCAAGCATTTTAAAGCATTCTCTGTTCCTTCCCTTGCTCTTTGTAAGCCCAATGTTAACTCTATTTTTGGGGTGATTTCCCAGTCCTCCAGGCCTGCAATATCACACTCCATGATTACTTCGGCATGATACATCTGTCTGCTAAATGCTAGGAACTCTGTGCGACTCTTAGTTTATCACATCAGTAACTTGGGCT